AGAGTCTGCACCGTGCCCTCACTCATACAGGGGTGATCAGGGAAGCAGCTTCCCAGCAGCTGTTCCCTTGTTCCTTTTGGAAGATGGTGGCTTAATTGAATTAATTTACTGAATTTGCATATGCGCCCATAATGTCATTTGTTGTTTTCCCCTATTTTTTACCAAATACTGGTCTTCCCAAGAGTGTTTTGCATGCTGGTATTTCCTGCCTTTTTGGTGCTGTTTCTTCAAGACTAAAGTCTGCAGTGCAAGCATCTCAGTCAGCTGGTTATGCTTTGTCTGGGTGCGGATTCTTCGGCAGTCCATGCTTTCTTCTTTTTTGTGTGCTGGGTTGGTGGGAGTGGAACCTAAGGCCTTGCTCATGCTAAGCATGTGATCCTGCACTTCCCCACTGCCTGCATCTTATTTCCGAATCCACAGTTGATTCCTGCTGGAAAAGTTGTTCGTCAGTGTTCTGGGAATTTATAGTTTGGTCCTGCAGAATGTGGTTTGTATGCTTCTGTGCACTGGGTGCATTCATATTGTTCCAGAGAATTGGAGCTGACTTCTGGGTCAACAGTGCTCATAGAAGGAGCCCAGCTTTCACTTAAATCCTGCAGTAGTTAAATATAAAAGTAAATAAATTTCACACACTCTGCCTTGCAAAGAGATTTTTTCCTTCCCAATTAACCACAGAGGGATCCTCAGCAAGGTTGCCTTTAAAGCCAGAAAAAAACAAACAAACAAAAAAAAAAAATTTTACCAATTTATTTTTGTTTTTATGAGGTTCAACATCCATTTAAGTATTTCTCATGTTTAAAAAAATTGCTTTAATACTGCTTGTAAAATCCCCTTCTCCTTCTGAAACTTTCTCAGAAGGAAGTGGAGCTCGCGGTTCAGTCTTCTCTGCTTCTCATCTCTGGCGCACGTGTGGCTGCATCAGCCTTCAGGGCTGAGCGCTGGGTTTTGTGGATCAGCCCTCAGAGGCCCCAACACCAATGTGCCCATGAAGGTTGTTCAAACTGACGCGGCTCTGTGCTCTGAGACTGCGCTCAGCTCCCTCTGTGTCACGCAGCCCAGCATGATTATCCTCACCCCAACTTCTACTCCTTAAGGCCCAGAGGGAGCAAGAATTAGTGATGCAAATACGTTAATTTCCTGACCTTGTTCACAGCTTCTCTTCCTCTTTTCTTTCTAAACAGCTGGTATAAAAACTTCACCAAGCAGCTGTTCTTTATTCATAGAAGGGCTTTCAGTATCCTGTCTCCAACTTGCCCCATGAAATATTCTGGGTTTAGAATATGCTTCACATCATTATCTAGAGTCTTCTCAGTGAGTCACAATTATTTGATGTTTTCTGACCCACACATGTACTTAGAATACACAGAATGTGTGATCTAATGTGGTGGTGCGAGGCCCAGGACCAGAGCTGGGATGACATGTTTAATTCACTTGTGAGTGTGGGAGTGGATGATCTAGTTCTGAGGAATTTATGGTGATGGCTCATTTTTTGGGGTGTTTGCTGTATGGATAAGAAGCCATAATGGTCACAACTGCTGCTGATAGCTGAAACTTTTCATGACTACTTAGAGTGAAAAACATTTGAAGAAAATTAAAGTTAATCTGGAAGTTCTGCTGACATTGTGCATTCTGTAAATGTATTTGATATTTTTTGATTAGCAATATTGAAAACCTTATGTTTTGATTCTTATGACTGCAAATTTATCAATTATTTCTAAATAGCAACTTTAAAATAGTTTACTTAAGCTAAAATGTATTTAATTTTAAAATCATCTGAAATTATTAATATTATTATTGTGTGTGTATGTGTGTGTGTGTGTGTGCGTGCGTGCGTGCGTGCGTGCGTGCGTGCGTGCGTGTGTGTGTGTGTGTGTGTGTGTGTGTGTATGAGGTACTGGGCATCAAGACCAAGGATGTTCTCCTACTAAGCTACACTCCCACACTTATTTGCTTATTTACTTATTTATTTTGGAGACAGGGTCTCACTAAGTTGTCTCTGTAGTTCTGAACTCCTGCTTCAGCCTCCCAAGTAGCTGGGATTACAGATGTTGGCCACCACTCCTGGTTAAAACAGATCTTTAAAGAATTCATTGTTGTTTCACCATCATGCTCGCGAGGTTGAGGCAGGAGCCTTATGAAGCCAGAGCAGCCTGGACAGACAACAGTGTAAGTTTAAGGCTAGCACAGACTAGAGTGAAATCACATGTCAACAAACAAACAAACAAACAAACAAACAAGCCCAAGTGAATATATGGATTACAGTGGCTTACGGTATGCATCTGTGTTGAAACTTAATATCTGTCCTTCATATCTTTGTAATACTCTTAGCCTCA